CCTCGCCCTGTCTGCCCTGGGACCCCGGCCATCTCCCCGCCCGCCTGATGTCTTTGGTTATCCACTGCTCACACAACATTCCCTCCCCTTCCCCCCCCCCCCCCCCCATCGGACGGAAGCATCAGCCAGGGCAAGCCAGGGCAGACAGCCGAGGATACGGTAATGCTACACTGCCCCGAAACGGCCTGGCCATCTCCCAACCGCCAGCGGCATGTTTCCTGTTCTGGGCTGGTCTGCCCGTCTCCAGATCGCCCTGTCACCTCCAGTTCATCGTGTCTTGCCCAGGCCTTACCCCCTTCTGGACTCTGTTTCTCTCCGTTCTCCCGACGGCCTGGCCAGAAGAGGAGTCACTAACTACATGTACGTTGCAAGAGGGAGGAGACGGAGGTCAAGAGGCTCGCAGCCAAACCGGAGCCTCACGATCGCTTTCGCCGGCTTTGGTCAGCCAGACTCGGAGAAATGGCATTGGCACTTGCTGACTAGCACTGACTGGCACTGACTGGACTGACTGGCACTGACTGGACTGACTGGCACTGACTGGCACTGACATTGGCACTGGTGGCTCCCTCCCCCGAAGCCTCAGATTCACGGCTCGTCATTCCTCAACCCCAGAAATTGGCCTTTCCGCTCCGCCATGCCATGGTTGTCTGGATCACGAGTGTCTGGATCACGAGTCGAGTCGTTCCGTTCCCTGATTGAATGCACTTTCTGGCCACTCTATCGCCTCCACTCTCTCATGGCCCCCGTCGACTGGAATTGGAAGCCCCCGTCGGCTCTGCCAGTCACTGTGCCTGAACTTTGACTCGACCGGCTGGTCATCTAGGTCACAGGTCACGTTCACTTGCCCCCAGGGTCCCCCTCAGTGAGCGCCCCTGATCGAATCGAATTCGGCTCTGCGGCCAGCTCTGGCGCCGGGATGTGACGTGCCCTTGGGCGGAGGCGGAGGAGGGAGGGGAGGGAGGGGGACTTCGCCTTTGGGGCCCTTTCCCAGTTTGGCTGGGCCACGCCTCTCCCCCAGGTGACCTCGTGACAGGGCAGCTTGTGGCTCTGCCCTTCATGCTCCTCGTCCTTGCACAATAACTCGCGGTTCCTGATACAAAGGGCTGGCAGGTTGTTCAGGCCCCGTGGTCACCGGCAGCCTCTTGGTGATGCCAGTGCTGTCGCCGCTGCGACCAAATCGGAGCTGCAGGAATTTTGCGCAGCATCGCATGGACACTGCACTGCGGAGACAGCAAGGAGAACACTGAAGGCATCAGCGCACCGCAGCAACATCCCGCGCCCTGGCCCGCTCAACGCCCCGTTTCGCACGGTCAACATTGATCACGGGGCCTTTTCGCCCCCTCGTCGCGCCCATCGCCATCGCCTTTTTGCCAGGCAAGGCGAATCGCCCACCCCCTCAAACGGGAAGGGAACTCTGTGATGCGTTGTCATCTTCTCCTTGCTACCACCACGCACGCTCTCCTCCA